ATAGTCACTTAAGTATAATTATACCTATTTGTAGACTTTCCATATGCAGTCGAATCCCATGAAGACGTCCATGCTTAATACGTTTTCTTGCCTAATACGTTTTTTCGTTTAATACGTTTTCTCGTTTAATATGTTATCTAGCTTAATACGTTTTCTTGCTTAATATGTTCTCCCGCTTAATATGTTCTCCCGCTTAAAACGTTTCCCCGCTTAATACATTTTTTACGCTTGATACGTTTTCTTGCTTAATATGTTACCCCTCTTAATAGTTTTCAGCTTAATACGTTATTGTATAATACGTTTTCTCGCTTTATACATTTTCCCGCTTAATTCATACTTTGTAACATGTTGTTGCTGTCCCGTATATTACGCTATCTGGCCTAAGAAGATATTTATTTTCCTGCATTTTTGTACACTTTTAGATTTTAAATGTCCTTGCAAAAATCTCAGTTTTTCTAAAGTTTTCAAAAAATGTTATTGTTTTTTTATTTATTTATTAACTTTCCGTAGGGTAGTTACTGTAATGGGCCGAAAATCGAAATTGAACATTTTTACATTTCTCGACGTTTTGAAGGTTTCTGAACGTTTTGGCATACCTCAGAAAAAATGGATGTGCGTGTGTGTATGTATGTATGGATACAAATTTCCAGTCACGTTTTCGGGCGTACGGATCAACCGATTTGAATGGTTAAAAAAATATTCGATTCCTATTAATAGGGAGATGAGCTGATTTGTTTTTGGCAAAGGCAGGTCTAGCAGTTACGGAGATAAAAAGCAAAGAGTGCAGAAAATAGAAATCGAGTTGTTGAGAGAACGGAGCATCCGATTTGTGTGATCCAAAAAAACATTCGGTTCGTAATGACGGGGAAAAGTCGTTATTTGTTTTTGGCAAAGGTAGGCATAGCGGTTTTGGAGATACAGAGCTAAATGTTAAAAAAATGATAGTTTTTGAGAGAACTAAGCGTCCGATTTAAATGATTCAAAGAACTTTCTGCTTGTTTCAACAAAATAATTGCTTTTGGAAAAAAAATTTTTGTTTCTAATTTTTTTTTTAAAAAATATTTTTGTAATTTTGGTTTAAAAATTCAAAAAATTGCCCAGGCTAAGCACAGTCTAAGCGCCACTTTGGTGCAAATGTTTACCCAAGTGCGTTTAGACTGTTTATGTTCTGGAGAACTTTCCAATTCGAATTTTGTGAAAAACTATTGAAAAATGCGAAAATGCCACCAAGCTAAGCACAGTATAAATGAAAATATCGCACAGAATTATTTACAAATGCGTTTAGACTGTGACTGTACCGGAGCACTTTTTCAATTTTGTGTAAATTAGGCAACTTTTTTTTGAAATTGAATTCGAAATTAAATGACGATTGTGTTAATGTTCTGGAGATAAATTGATTTATGATTTACATTTGATTTACTCAGATATAACAAGATGGCAAAAATAATGAAAGTTACAGTATTTGTAATAATATATTTGAAACGTTTTAAAATTTCTCGAATATTTCATTACGGTACGGGAAGTTCCAGCAATTTGCCTTAAGGCACGATGCCATGCGCCCTACTAGTATTTTTTTATTGTTACCATATAAATTTACAATCTGTCTCCAAGAGACATTCAGTAATTAGATTGTAGGTAGTGGAAATGATTGCTTAAAAGGTAGGTTACCCAGTAGTAAACCTTTTAGTTATGTAACAATTATGGTAAAACATTTATAAGTGCACTTATAAATGTTTTGCCATAATTGTTACATAACTAAAAGGTTTACTACTGGTAAACTTACTTTTTAAGCATAGCATACATTTTAAGATACTAAAACCTTTTGTAAGTCTAAGCATACATAAATAATATGTGACAATAAATATATTTATGTATACATATATAAATAATTCCTACATAAACTAATTTTATACTTATTCTGCTAATTCGAGTAATGATTGTCTTTTTAATCTATGAAATGTAGTATTGCACAGTTTGTTTTCTAAGATATTGAGGTGTGACTGCTTATTTCCATTTTACAGTTTTGTACTATTTTGTTTACCTCTTCATTTATTGTGTTGACGTTTGCGTCTTGGTGTATTAGCCATGTAGGATTTTATTTTGAAATCTTTGAATGATTTGGATGTTGGAATATTGTCTTTTTTTTTATTTTCAGTACGGGAATTTTTCTTCATACACCACTAGTTTACAGATTTTCGACATTAATTGACTCTAATAACATAGATATTTAAACATTTCAAGGCATATTTATACATTTTTTTGAAAGTAAATAATACTTACCGACATGTTTTTTTAGACCAGACGTCACAGACCATTTTTATTTTGTGAATTATCACAGTATTTAATTATTATAATTCTTATTATATATAATATATAATATAATAATAATTATAAGAGTTGGAATAAATATTACGTAAATATTAATACATATTTATGTATTTTATTAATATATATATTTTTTAAAAAACGTTTTTGACAGTTCGTTAACACAACACTAATTAAAAAGTGTGAACAACTTCGGATATAACATTTTTAGTGCCAACATAAAATTTATAAAAAAACAAATAGTTTAAATTTTTGAATTATTAAAGTAATTATAATCATAATAACAATTTTAATTGTTAAAAAAAGAATCAAAATCGTGTATTAAAACGTTAAAATAAACATTATGCAAATATAACATATTTTTTTCAATAAAATGTTGTGAACAGGAAAATTTTTAAACAAGTTATTTTTAAATATTATTTATTATTGATTATTGTTTTTATTATTACTATTATTTTAATTATTATTTATTTAATTAATTATTCTATTTTATTCTTTAATTCCTTTTGCTCTATTTTTTTTCTTCTTGATTTTGATTTTCAATACCATAACTTTTAACTTATAGATATTTACTTATAACTATATAGTATTGTAATCTGTTTGTTAAAATTAGCAAAAATAAAAAAATAAAATAAATAAAACATGTTGACACTTGATAAATATGTATTTATTATTATATTTTAATCGTACTAAATACTAAAATTTTATAACTTGTGTAAATTTTTAAACCATCCATGAACTGTCTGAAGTTGCTAAAGTGTCAACACGTTTTATTAAAAATAAATAATATATTATATTTGCATAATGTTTATTTTAATGTTTTAATACACGATTTTGATTCTCATCATATTGTTATCTTCTATATATATAAAAATAAGTCGGGTTTTCCTTTCTGACGAAATAACTCCAGAACGCACGAACCGATTTCGACAATTTTGCATTCTTTGGAAAGGTCTCAAGCTCCGCAAGGTTTATTGCTAAAAAAATTAGTGGTGCATGGCATCGTGCCTTACTGCAAATTGCTGGAACTTCACGCACCGTAATTAAAAATTTGAGTAATGACATTAGTGAGAATTATCAGAATTATGCTTGGTTAAGTCAACGAACAAATCTTGCCGCAAAGTATAATGATGTACACGCACTGAATTTCACCATTCAATCAAAAATTGCTGGCGATTTGGTGACATACCAATGATTTCGATTGGTCTTCCGTTTGACTTCAAACGATTGCAAGTTCCAGGTCGCCTTGCGTTCGCAATAACAAGTCGCAAGGCCAATCGCTTAGTGTTTGCGGGATAAATTTCAAATAGATTATTTAGAAAATCATTGTTTTTCACATGGGCAGTTATACGTTGCCTGTTCATGAGTTGGAAAATCATCCGCTTTGTTTGTGTTAACGTCAGACCCAAAAAACAAAAAATGTGGTTTACCAAA